GTTAAAATTAATGTTGTATCCCTCGATTAGACAGCGATCGTTCTTACGAAAAAAAATATACCATTAATTATTTTGTTCTTAACACGCACGATTTCAGTTTCGTGACCTTTTACAACCGTCTCCTTGAAAACTGAAGGGCAAATTACAGGAGGTCTTTTAAGATTAGAGTTATGCAAAAGAATTTAAAAATGATAATAGAGAAATACAGAGATGTTTCAAAGCCCTATAAATCAGATAATTAACACTGTTGTTTACCTTCAACATTCGCAATTTCTCGAATTCCAAGCTTGTGTTCCTCGCTGTGATTAACGACTGAAATCTGCCATGAAAGTCAATTAGGGATAAATTAGTTTCATAAGTCTAACTTCACTAATTACCACAAGGCATAAAAACTTCATAAATGGTATTTTCTCCCAACTTATCTTATTCGACTTGTACATTCTTGCGGTCTCGTTTTTCGATGCATTGTGTAGTGAATAATCCAATTTTCATGACGTGGTCTCCCCTCTTTTCAAAAAAATATCAATTAACAGTCTTCTTGATACTCAACGTATCAACCGTTGCTGCTTCATTCTAAAAACTTCACTATTCTTGATACCTTGGCTCACCATACAATCAGCCAGCAAACTAACTTTTCCAAAGCCTGGCTACAGACCTTTTTATCGTGGTACTGTCCGTCTTGGAATCCGTTGGGTGTCGTTTCAAACTTAATGGTGCTTTCTATACCGATTTGCCCGACATTAGGCAGTTTCTTGAACACCTTTCTACCGCTACTATACAATTTATTTGATGTACAGTTGAATGTTATTAGGTGATCAGTTAGCATCCGGCAGTGTACTGGACAATTTTTACATTTGAACTTAGCATCAATAACAGAACTGACCCTGAAAGTTCCAGGTTGGTCATTAGTTTGTCATGAACTTCTGAGCAAAAAGTTGCCTACGTTTTTGTCACGTTTAAATAAAAAAAACCGTGGAGGTTGCAAAATGATAATACCAGTCTCTGAATCATTTTGAAGTAATCTAAAGTTTTTAAGAATGATGCATTTAACTGCGTGGTTGTGAGGGTGAAATTTGAGTGTGAATGGAATGCGATCGGTATTTTCCTTCTATTATGTTTGTAGGGCTGACTATCGATGAATTTATTGGACGCCTTATCTTTTCGCAACCTCCACTTATTTAATTCAAACGTGACTAAAACTTAGGTAACTTTTTGTACAAACGTTCATTACAAAGCAATGACCAACCTCAATGGAACTTTCAAATGCGCACGTTCACGATGCAAAACTTGTCCTTTCATTCATAACGTTGAGAAAATATCAGGACCAAAGAGATCCATTAAGATCACTGATCACTTCACGTGCTTCTCCGCCAATGTCAACTATTGCATAACTTACACTTATTGCAAAAAGTTATACATTGGTGAAACAGGAAGACGACTTGACGACCGATTCTGAGAACACCACGACGTAGATAGGAACGACAAGGACGCATCCAAACCAGTTGCAGACACTTTAATCTCCCTACTCATTCTAAGCAGCATATGGCAGTTTGCGGCCTTTCCTCACATCCAGGCAGTTCGGAAAGCCTCCAACTCTTTCACAAAATTAATATTTCAAATCGGCACTCTTAATCCCCACGGTATCAACGAACGCTTTTCATTCAACTAATTTATTCTTGTTTTTCTTGTCTCTATTTTCCCACCAATAGCGTAGCTCCATTTTCTACATATAAACCCACACACAACCCATAATTTCTCCATTGGCTCTGACGAGAGGGTTTACGCCCGAAGCGTCAGCTTTGAAACTCTTTATGTTATCATCATTAATACCAAAATTATCTTGTTATACTCCGACACCGACGCAGCACCACAGTTTCTTCAGAAACTTCTCCCCTTTTTTATTCTCTGTGTTTCAGTTATTAGGGAATACGTCGTAAAAATTTGGAAAGTCTAATCGAGGCAAAAATCCTCATTTGAAAGACTCAGGGTTTTTCTTCGTCTCACCCTCTTACCAAAAGTTTTTTAAACATTTTTATCTATAACCAATCTTTTCTCTTCACTATTATTGTAATTGAATAAAATCCATCTTAACACGAACTCTCTGTTGAGCTACAGTTTAATGCAGTCGTAGTAGTTGTAGACTTTATTTAACGAGGGTAACATTTGACAGTAATCAAACTGATTAGCTCATGGCTTTCGTGTTTAAATAAAGTTAATTCAATTTTTCTCCAGTTTTACCGAAGTATGATGAAGTAAGAAAGTAATTTGTACCATCTACAACGAATTAGCCTCTTCTTACCGAGGTCGAACTCAGTCCCAGTACTTACCGTGACCCCTCGAAGGTTGGTCCGTCCTAGCAGACTGACATTGGTCAATGCTGCTGTGATGATACTGATGAACATGGTAATGATGATAAGACCCGCTAACATCCATATCAGTCCCAGAAGCTTCCCAGGGATTGTTTTGGGCGCCAAATCTCCATACCTAAAATATAGATTCATCATTACGCTTTACAATGTTTGTTTACCTTAAAAATTAAAGCAAATAATTAGCTATTATTTCAGGGGTCTCCATTAATTTTTCCATAAGAAGGTGCCATTGGCGCATGATGCGCAAGTTTTCCCAAAAAGGAGCCTTGAGGCGAAACCCAAATACGAGCACCTGCACGTAAGCTAAACCTGGGACTGCGGTAAGAAGTCTCACAGGCGGCGGTAGACCGCTGGTAATAACTGACTTCTAATGAAACCCTCCACGATTATTACTCAAACTTCATTTTGATATTTTTTGACTAACCATTGTATATCTGAGAGTAGTAACTCAATAATGTCGTTTTACACGATGTTTTTTTTAATCTAGCAAACGAAATAGCAGTATTTAAAACGATTTTTCCACGGATACTTTGCAATTAGCATTAGGTAATTTCATTTTATCGATTGTCGACTGAGTCAATAAATCCAATTTATACGACAACAAAACCGACAACAAAACCGACAACAACTCTCCACTTGACTCTGATGATGACTGCCGCTCAGGTTATTAAAGCGTCAGTCACTACTACCGTCACTACAACAGTCCTTTTCAGGACTACTCTCACATAATTGGCCACTGATAAGAGTTTCTGAGCGAATGTCAGAGCAAATATTTCGCTTTGACGAAGAGTTAACACTCTATAATAATAAATAACACAATAATTCTAGTTAATTTGAGTGTCCTTGTGACAAAATATTGTTGCAAGTATGCGGCATAAAATACCGGGCTCTAAGTGTAAGGGAGGAACATACTAACTAAACACATGAACTGATCCCAACGAGCGCGCTACTAATGTTCTTATAATAATATGTGCATTCGGGGTTGTCAGTTACTTCGCGGCTTTCGAACATGTAACTGCTCGTTTTATGTTGGAGTATAAAAATTAGCTTTTTTTAACCTAAATTTATCGTTACAGTCCTCACATGCAGTGTCTTAGTATCGACTAATTAAGAAGAGTTTGGGAAGAAAGCGCATATTTTAACTCTTTTACTCTTAAGATTGAGCATTCTTATCATGGATATGTAAATATAATATTTCTTTGTAATTTAGTATTATCAACTAAGTTGATAACGTAAATTGGTCATCGTTAAGAGTTTAAAAGCTGACTTTTCGAGCGTTAGCGCTTCGTCAGAGCGATTGGAGGAATTTTGGGTTGTGTTTGGGTTTACATGCAGAAAATGGAGCTACGTTATTGGTGGGAATATGGTGACGAGAAAACAAGAATAAATTAATTGAATGAAAAGCGCTCGTTGATGCCGTAATTTAAAGTGGTTTCACAATCACTTAACTGTAAAATCCATAGTCTTGAAAGTGAGATATTTCAGTTGCAAAACAACTTTGCTGGCGAAACATTATAAACTCTTCGTTAACCCACAGCATTTTTGCATGATTCACGAGCCATGATTTGATGTTGGATTCTTCGCCTACTTTGTTTTAATGAGAGAGAAGCTATTAGGGTTTTATTTGCTTCGGGGAAAATCCTGATTATTTATTTAATCTATCCAAGAGATTAAGAACTGTCTAGAATCTCTTGATCGATCTTGATACGAAATATTGGACCAACGTCGATGGTAAATTAAAAGCGTTTCCTCTCTAAGCGCCATCCAATATGCACTGTCATTATTTTATGGTATGCTTGAGACAGGTTTTTCATCATTCGGGTGCCCGGAAATTATATGGGTGTTGCTTATTGAGCGATCAAACCCGGATATACATAGCCGGAGAAAAGAGCAAATAAGCGATATTGTTTAATTATTTACCGAGTGTTATAGTCTGCTGTAAGTCTATTATGTTGCTGTACATAGAGAAAAACTTTTTGTTTTGGTTTCGTTTTAGGCGTTCTCAATCATTTTCACCACGATTTTTGACTTCACATTGAAAATTACGCTCACATTGTTGAATATAAAGCACAGAAAAGATAAACAGCGTCATTTCTATTTCAAATTGGCCGTTCAGTATTAATTTTTGCAAACTGAACATAGTCAGCTCGAAACATTCGCGTAGTAGTAACAACAGTTTAAGATTTGCCAGTAATAACCTTCTCACTGCATGTTTACGGTTCTTAGGATAAGGAGAAAAAACAAGATTCATTGCTGTAGGCGAGTTGCTTGGTTGCATCAGTTTTACCCTACACTGCTTTAAAATGGCCATAAACATATCTTCTGAGCTTCAGTACAAAATATAAGGCAAAACGCTGTGACAGACATGACCAAACCATGTCGTAAAAGTACGACTGTTTGACACTGTTTCCTTCAACCAAAAACAGCCACAGAAGTGACGAGAAGTGACCGTTAAGTCTAAATGTTCAAGTTTAATAAATAATTTATGTGGTGCAAATATTTATTAGCTGAGCAACTTCTTATTACAGAATTACTTTTTCAAGCTATGTTGAGATGGCCCACCGAAAAAAAGCATCTGTGGTATGTAAGCTTATAACCGTAACCCTTCAGTCACCAACATCAATTGGCGGATTCTCAATACTGTTCTGTATGCATTTCCTCTGATATTGTAAAAGAGTATTAGGAGAAGAGCTTCTTAGGGTGATGATCATTTCCTTTATTCTCAAGACTTGAGCTAGACTCAGCAGTGATACTGTGGGGAGACATTAGATGCTTATTACTGTTAGGATTAAAATACTTATACTATTTTCTAGCGGTACATCTGTCTCACTGTGGCCTTGACTGTTTCTCTCAGTTCTGTGATCTTCCAGCAGTACACAACTGGATTAAGCGTAGAATTCAAAAAAGAAAGTGTAAATGTCATTACCCACGCAAGCAGAAGATTCGGTGCCCTGGTTTCTCCAGGGTGAATCACAACCAAACCTGTAACTATGCCTGCTGGGAGATAACACACAACTAATGTAAAATATACCCACAATGCACTGGACACTGTTTTTCTGTATCGCGCGATGTTTAATGGTGCAGCTCTGCCAGGAACACTGCCTTGTAATTGAACTTGATGATGAAGGAGCTTTTGATATATCTTTGCGTAACAGCAAGTTGAAACTGTCAAACCTAATGTGAAAGCCGTAACGCCATAATATCCAATGATGTCAAAAGTCCAGTATACCGAGGCTGATGCACAAATACTTGCGGTCCAAAGACAGAGAACGGCCAACGCCACGCGTTTAGAAGTGACTATTTGTCTGTACCTCACACCCAGTGACAGGGCAAACAACCTGTCCACACTTATTGCGGTCATCGTTAGTAAAGATACTACACAGGAAAGCATTTCGACAACAGCCGAGAGGTGAACCAACGGAAAACACACTTTCCAGTTCCCATAATGTACCGACATTAAGTATGCGACAAATACTGGCTCCAAAACAAACCCAACACACAAGTCAGCAATCGCTAAGGAGCGTAACAAGATCTTAGAGGGTGGATGAAGGGATGAGCTCTTGTGTAAGGCAATAAGTATCAATATATTACTTGACGTTGAAGTTATGAAGAGGAAAATATTGGCAGCCACAAGAAACCAAAATGAAAATGTTCCTGTTAGAAACGTTTGACAAAAGAACAGAGCATCTTCAATGTTATCCGCCATTTTAGTTGTCATTGCTCAACTTTTACTAACGAGTGCTCTTCAAGTGTTATAAGGACCAGTCAGGGTGAAGGTTCCTAACGGATTCGTCTCTGCCAGGTGATGAAGATGAAAGCAAAGTTCTTTCCTGTCAGCAAATTTTAAGTTCGTGGGCGTCGAGTCATTAAATATGTATATATGAAATAGATTGATGACCTTTATTGTTGTTTCCTGTCATCTCTAAGATGCATGCTGGAGGCTATTACAAGAAAGAATAACATTTAGAGAAAGTAAAATTGTAATAACTTCTATACAATATTGATTTTCTTTTGCCTTAAGTCAGCCTTGAAACAAACCAACCTATACTGAATTTACTTTGTTAGCAAAAAAAAAAAAAACCGAATTCTCGTTGTCATTTAGCCACAATTCGCTTAAAATGTGTCTTATCAAGGATGGAAAGACAAAAATAAACCAAAAACTATTGGCTTTTTATCAGTATCAGAAATAAACATCTGCTGTTGTCAAGACCTTTCTCGTTTCAAAGTACCGAGTAATGTATTATTTTCATTTCTGTTATGTGAACTCTACGCAAAAGTGACTGAATGTCAACAAGGTGGTAGAATTTAAACTCCTTCTACTCTGTGCCTACACAAACTTTCCTCTCTGTCACCCGGTAATTAACAAGCTGTTGGTGACCAAAACATCCTTACACATCCACAGAAAATGATTATAATTGTCTCTGAGCCATTTCCAATGATTTCAAGTTTCGCGTTGCGACATTCAGCCAAGGGTCGATAGTTTAAGCCTATGTGTTTTTAAATAAAAGAGCATAATCCCTTCAAACAAAAGATATGGCCACAAATAGTGCACTCGTAAGCTTAATGTTAAATCCGAAACAAACCCAAAGTTTCAGATGATGATGACGGTCATCAAACTGTTAACCGATAGGAAGTATGGTCTATTGCTTAAATAAATAGAGATTATTCCATGGAAAGGGCGGACGAACGATTTTTATTCACGAGTTGCAATGCATCAAAAAAACGAACAAGTGAGCAAAGCTCACTTTATCGTTTTGAAAATATTTCGAATCGTTTTAATGAAATACTGACGACATAGGAAGAATATGTATAAAGGCAAAAGAAAATCAATATTTGTACAAAAGCTATTACAATTCTACTTTCTTTAGATGTTATTCTTTCTTGTAATAGCCTCCAGCATGCATCTTAGAGATGACAGAAAACAAAAATAAAGGTTATCAATCTATTTCATACATACATATTCAGTGACTCGACGCCCACGAATTAAAATGTGCTGACAGGAAAGAACTTTGCTTTTATCTTCATCACCTTGCAGAGACGAATCCGTTGGGAACCTTCACCCTGACTGGTCCTTATAACACTTGAAGAGCACTCGTTAGTAAAAGTTGAGCAATGACAACTAAAATGGCGGATAACATTGAAGATGCTCTGTTCTTTTGTCAAACGTTTCAAGCAGTAACATTTTCATTATAGTTTCTTGTAGCTGCCAATATTTTCCTCTTCATAACTTCAACATCAAGTAATATATTAATACTTATTCCCTTAAGCAAGAGCTCATCTCTTCATCCACCCTCTAAAATCTTGTTACGTTCCTTGGCGATTTCTGATTTGTTGTGTTTTGTGGTTGAGATGCACAAGAGGTATAAGGTCTAAGGAGATAGAAAGTACTTTTTTGCAGTAATGGCACAAGACTCGCACAATACCTCAGCCATTTTATCATCATGACATAGCAGTACTTCAACTGTATGCATTTCGTCTGCTGAGCGGCAAGAGTCTTAAATTTGCTCAGCTGAGGGCGGTATCACTCGGTTCACTCAGAATGTAGCTCCTTGCATCTTAACAATACAACTTACTCCCAATGTTAGGTCTCACTTACGCCAGCATGAGGGTTACGAGATTTGTTGACGGCTGACTTACTTGTAGATGAGCGTGTAACTATAAATGGCCATCAAACGCTAAAAGAAATTTGGCTCCTAACTAACTTTACTCAAGTAGCTTTTCCTCTCGTGTCAAGCCATAGTTTTATCAAGTAATCTTATGTTTTAGGCATGGATGATGTGGTATACATGTTTGGGCTTCTGTTATGGAGAGTGCGTTGTGTTACGGAATTACTAAATATAGAATTGAAGAAGTTTCTAGAACGCTTAGTCATGCTGACTCATTGAGAACTCTTAATGGAACTTCCTAGAACCCTTAGTCAGCATAATTTCTTATTATGTAATAGCAATGTAATGTTACTAAAAATAGTTGTATTACAGATCTCTGGAATGTTCTAGAACTTTTTGTAAAACATGTATATGGAGTCGCGATTAGTTAAAGTTAGCCTTTTCTTGAGTGAGCCTTTCTTTGAGAGCAATGCAAATGCAGATATGCAAAGCACAATGGATTCGCAATAAAACTGTTTTTTGGTTTAGTCAAAATATATTTCGTGTTCTCCAAACTTTAGCGCAGGTCATCAATCCGTTGTAATTGAGCTTGCAACTATAAACGGCCTTCAAACGCAAGGAAACTACATGATGGTGTTTCAGCAAAAGAACGGTTCGCGGATTAAAAAAAAATCGCCTTCTCACGATTTAACTGCGTAGTGTAACAACTAACAAAACAAAGGTTCTTAGCTTTTCAATTGCTAACAATATTAATCCCGTTTTCCCGTTATTATAAGTGCACCTGGTTGATTTGGACGAGGATTATCTATTCTGTTCGCACGAGTACTTACCCAACGGTTGTCATAGTTATGAAAGCCCACCAGAATCCTTCAAACACACCATGGGAAAATGACTCAGGAAATTGCTCTGTATTCTCCTTCCGTTCCTGAGAGAGGAAAATGTGGTCAAACTTTTTATTCATAACGATGAAACTAAATATGTCTTCTTCAATTTAACGTTTAGACAAAATGTTCGTTTGCTTGAGTTGTACGTGGATTGTCAGTTGAACAAAAACCACCTCGTCCAGTAAACAAGAAGAGAATCGATATCTGAGGCGAAATAATAACGAAACATCGAGCCCTTGTTAGATGACCTTAAACAACTGAGTTTTGATTTGATTTTAAGTGAAAAATCAAAGTTTTGTACCAAAGCCAATGACCGAAAAAATCGATGATCCGGACAACCCCATGATATGGGTAGTGTTAGTGCGCCGTGCTGGGCCCACGCTTAATGGATCATCGAAAAAAAGGCAGCTTGATTCCAGTCACTTTCCACCCGCCCATTTTTTTAAGTGTCTACACTAAACCATGATCTTTAAAAGGCAACGGCGACGTTTTCTACCGCCATGTCAGTTTTGCACGAATTATTCGGCTTATCAATCAAAGCAGTAGGACATATTGTTACTTACAAATAACCAGATAACCACTCCGGCAAGCGAGGCAGAAATGAGAATGAACACAAGGATGGGCCAGCCTTGAAGAACAGACAGCAATAACTGAGCCCCAGACACGTTTCCCTTGATAAGCACTGCAACTCCAGGGGACTCAAGCAACCCAGTGAACGAGAACTGACGAACAGTTCCTGCTCCAACCTCTGCCCCCACGGGTAAAATGAGATCAAAGTCTTCGGCGGCCAGAAGTTGATCTAAGCCAGCAGGACCTTCAGGGACCTGCGTGTAGTTCAGTGTTGTGCTGCTTTTACAACAACGTTCGAGGGCTTGGTCCAAGATTAATGGAAACATCCCTGATATAGACGTCGGTGCATCTACTTTTGATTTTAAGTTATCTTCCTGCTTGTCCGCAGATTTGTAAATATACGGCTCCTGGCCCCACCATAACACAGTCAGCCGCCCTCCTGTGCTGCACTTGTGGTCGACGGTGACAGCGTTCGCTAAGAAGACGTTGTCTATAAACAAGAATATCACTGCAATATGTTTCATCATTTTTCTCTCTCTGATCATGGCGTTGCGAACTCAATAAACACGTCTTTCGATTATTATTTCACAATAGGCGTGAAGGGGAAAATTCAATTGGAATGAGCGGTACCAACGAGTCCGATTATGTCTGAAAATGTCCTCTATTTTCTCTTGATATTTTCCTGTCTCTGTTGTCACTTGTACAATAATGACACGTACGGTAATTACTGTGTCGGAGTAAGTTCAATGGGATATCATGGCACTAAAACCTGTTCTTTTGATTTCTTCGCAGTTTTGTAGACAAGAAAAGAAGATGATCTATCTACCATCCTACTGTTGGATCGCATTTTCCAGTAGAGTTACAATGTATTTTTGGCGAGTGATTTGTATTCACTTACAGTCCTATACATCAAGAAATTGTGGCGAAAGTATCACTTTCTCCATTGGATAATAGTCTGCTTCATCATGAATTTTTCATAGCTGGTTATCATAGCGAGGAAAAGAAAAATCTAGCATACTGATACGTTTAACACTAACGGAGACATATTTTAAGCTATGCAAAATTTCAGCATGGTATCTTTAAGTTGTAGTATCTTTTCCCCCTTTGACAACGAAAGTAGATGCAGTGTGATTCATATTTATATCAAATATAAACCTATGTATTTTTTAGTTCTAAAAGTTGTTGTTGGGGAAGTCTTTTGGTATTGATAACATAACATAATCAGTGTATCTAAAGTCCTTCTTAGCAATGAATATCATTACAGACTGCGGCGTGTGTAATTGATTTGATTTGACAACATTTTCAATAAGAAAAAAAAATATGGAAAAAAAAGCTGTTAAGTGTGTAATTAAGCTCAGCCTATTGCATACTTTGTTGAAAGACAAAACCACAATTTTCTCTAATCAAGTCGACGTCTACATATGTTGATGGAGAGAAACTATTGTTTAAAATCTCACAACTACACAAAAAAACCCACTTAAAAATAGGAAATCAAAGGCTTGTACTAAATCAAGTGATGAAATGATCATTTTTTTATATTAAAAATATTATATATATATTTAAAATATATATTTATATAAATATATATTTTTTTATATTAAAAAAATGATACCTTGCGTCAGAAGTTCCAATTCTTCTCGAGAGGTGAAGGTGAAATTAAAATTGTTTGAAATTGTTGCAAATATTGTTATCCTTTAAAACACTACGAAAATACGAGAATGTATGGTTAAAACAAAGATAATATCTATTGATATGTTAAATGAAGGATTTGTTATTGTTTTAAACGAAAAACAGCTGTGAAGAGTAATTCATGTTCACATTTTCAAGTATTGGCGTTTACTCCAACTATATCGTTTTGATAACTGTTAACATGATGAGTTTTTCTGATCGTTTGACTTCCATACTCTCAGTTTTCTCTTTATTAAGAATAGGTTTAGCAACATCTAACATGCAAAATGCATGTTCTACAGGAAAAACATCATTGGATCTTGTTTACTGGGAACAAAAGCCTTACGTTTTCGAGGACAAGGAAAGAGGTGAAATCTCTGGTGCTATACCAGAAATCCTTCGCATCGTTTTCAAGGCTTGTTGCCACAAGAGTCCCAATATTTCGGCCAAGCTTATCGAGTATCCCAAATCACTGAAAACTACGATCGATCATTACTCAGAAGAGATCATTATTCCTGTGGGACGGAGAGTCGGCCTCGAGAAATCGATATTTCTACGTCCTTTTGTAGGCTCGGTTCATTCGCCTGGAATGGCTATTGTGGTACAGAGGAGTATTCCAGGCGAAGAACTTCTAGCCGCCATTTTGGATTCTTGGCCAATTGTGATTTTCATTGGGATGTCGTTATCTCTCAGTGGAATTGTCATGTGGGCTCTGGTAAGAGAATTGGTCTTAATTGGCTCAATTAGTTTTACATCAAGGGCAAATTATGTTACACAGCAACATGGACATTTCGATCAGATTCTTAAGAGTAAAGCTAGTTTTGAGTAGAACTAAGTAGCTTTTTGTTGATCATACAGATTATCTCGAATCTTTACGAATCTACAAAATAGAGTCCACCTCAGCTGTTCGGCTTGCCGTGGCAAAATTATTTTTATATATATTTTGGTCACGTGAAGTTTGTAACCGTAGGAAAGTGCTGCTTAGCTGCCATAAGGTATTTAAACAGGATCTGCTCGCGAACTATCAAGTTCTGTAATTCGTAAGCCCTTGGAATTGAATTATGAATCTATAATGAGTCGTCTCTCAGTTCATTTACTAATGACTATAACTTTACTGTGCTATATCAACTCAAGTATGTTTTAATGTTGGTCACACATTATGTATCCTCCAGGACAATCGTAAAAACTCTGAGGAATTCCCAAAGTTTTTCCCAATAGGCGTATTCGAAGGAGTCTGGTGGGCTGCTGTCACCATGACAACAGTTGGGTACGTAGCTTGCAAGATTATGCTAGGGAAGACAAAGAATAAAAAAGTATGAAGTTACAATTTGCTGAGGTAGATAGAGATGAACACCAAAAGTATTTGTGACGAGACAAAAACTTGTTTGTGCTAACGCAAGGGCATTTTATTTGAAAGTGATCTTACTCTGTTTTTGGCAGGACGTTCGAACCCACCACTTGCCACTGATTGCCAACGCACATTGTATCTCCTCGTTATGATCACCAATGTACAACAGCCAGTTCCCTATGTTCTTAGGGTGACCCATCTGAACAGGTTCTTCTGTAAACGGAGATTTCTTCGTTAGCGTCTTCGGTCGAGTGGATACACGACTATCAATTTAATACAACGTAGCGTTAAAGAGGCCCCTGTTTTCATTGGATTCATAGTCATATCTGACTAAGTTTCTTAGGCATACATGCCGAGCAAATTGTAACAGAATAACAACTAGCTGAGGGTTTATTTAACATTATAAAAATTAGCCCCATTATTTAGTTTGGTTTTAAGCCTCAAAGTACGGGTAACTATCTTGAGATAATGACTTGGCGATAATCTCCTTCATACGTACATTTGTACACGAAGTTTACTCTCATTTCATTTCTTTTGCTCTTCCTTTTCTAGTTACGGTGATAAAGTTCCTCGTAGTATTTTAGGCCGCCTCTTTGGTGTGGTATGGATTAATGTTGGTCTTGTTATCCTTGCTATCTTTATGGGAATAATAACAGCATCTCTCAGCAGTAACAGTCTTGAACAAGTTAACAACCTATATGGAATGCCAGTAAGTAGGTGTTCCGACTCTTTTCTTTCTCACACCAACGTCATTACGGATAACTTGTTAGCACTTGAAAGTTACACATGATGGCGTCAAATAATAGCTTTAGACAGGGTCGCATTACAGGTGTTAACTCTTAAACTCCCAAGATCTGATTGTTGATTCTCCCCTCTAGCTTCTGCACATTTCATTGTTAATTAGTCATGAGAATTGCTGTTAAATCAATATAGCAATTTCAACCTGATCAGTTTGCGTATTCTCATTACTCGTTTGCTGGATAATGTATGGATGATATTGGGAGAACTTACGTTTTAATTACTTCTGAGAGTTAAGGGGTTGAAAGAGTGATCCTCTGTTTTTGATTTCACTCACTGACTGAACATATTAATGGGAAGTACTAATTGGTCAATCAGTTCATGGTTACTGGAATGCTTGAATGAGCGTTTTATGCGAATTGAGGTCCGAAAAGGCTGCAACTTCTTGAGCGAAAAAGCACTTCCAGAATGGAATAAAACTATAGTTGTTTCATTGTGACCGTGAATAGCTACTGCGAGGAAAAAAAGAGGCAAACAAGCAGAAAAGAATGGCGTAGGAGAATCAGTTTCAACTTTGCAAATCCTGATGAGTATTTCAATGGTTTCTCAGGTGGCGGTTTTGAATGGCTCTGCTGAGGAACAGTTAGCTATTTTACAAAATGCTGAGGTGCACGGTAAGTTCAGATTTCTTTAGATTTACATGTTTTGCAATCTCGATCGATGCACAGCTGCTGTACCCGAATCTTCCTCTGCAACAATTTTAAGAGTGATTGGTTGTCACGTTGTTTGACCATTGCGTACGCTGTGCAGTTTTAACGTTTTCAGTTCTGAAAAGCGAATGAAGGATAAATGAACACAGTGACAACGAGAGGTATCTGGGGGCTGATCTTTTATTGAGCTGAAAACAATAGGCTTAACCTAATTGTTCGAAAGTTGTCTTCAAATTTTGGTAAATTCGGTACCACTGTTTTGAATCCTATCTAGCAATCTGGCCTGTCATCTGTGACGTACCAAAGTTTCGTTACTCCTTTTTCTACTTCTATGCAGTGGCTTGAGTAATGTAAGAAGCTACGTGAAGGGGATTCTTGGTCAAATAAGGTTTTTTTGTTCCGATCAGAGCAGCAGTTGTTTGTGAACCGTGCGTTGTGGTTTTGCGAGTGTGGCTAGGATACTAAGCTGTTTCCAAAAATGGCGGCGTCCATAGGCGGGTTTTTGGATACTGGAATGTAATATCAAAGGGCATTAAACAGTAAAATTTGATTGATATCTCTTAATAGCGGTGTTTAAAATCAATCGGGTTTTAGAGAATACTTATAAAATAAAACCGAAAACATGCGTTGAAATTGTGATGCATGGTAATAACACTCAAAACAATTGCCTAGATGATGGAAGTGAACGAACGATCGATCCAATTAAGGATACTTTTATGTATTGTAGGAGCATCATTTGTCCTATGCTTAGAGCATTTTCATCAGTAATAAACTTTCTTTTTCGTTTTAGTCAAAACAAGTTACGACGAGTTGTACAAGAGCGTCAAGAGCGAGGAGACCGTGTTAGCTTTAGTAGATATTTTCAGCACTACTCAGCACAGTGAATATTACAATACATACAAGTTATATGTGGCCACAGTCCTGGGTGAGCCCGTCATTTACGGAGCAGTGTTACCCAAGACTAGCGCGGCCCTAAGATCGTGTTTCCTGAGTTACCAAGGGAACCATCAGTTGGAAATACACGAGATTTTGGAAAAGTTCAGCAAAACAAAACAGGTATTGTTATTCAATTCTGTGGAGTACTTTTTTTAAAGAGACAATCAGCAGAGGTTTGCGTTAGATAGGTCGAGCGGCTAATGGGGAACATGAATAAATAATAATGGTACGTGTATATTCACGATTAAACCGATTAGATGTTTAAATTTTGCATGCAGTAAGATGTGCCTGGTTCTGATATGCTGTATGCAACTACACTCAACAATAACTAATGGACGTCTTAGAATTTCGTTTTTGGGTAACAGGTGCATAAAGACAAAAATATGGGGTATTTTTCTTAGGATACACAGTGTCTGCAGTAACTTCGCTTTTTTGCGTTGGGGAAAGATCTTAATTCATTTATACCATTATTAAGGCAATTGATGAAAAGTTGTTGTTCTACTGATCACGAAAAGAAACTACATTGAGCCTCTTTAAGCAAAACAATAATAAGAAAAGGAATGTGTTACAATTATTTGATCAAAGATCGTTAACGTTCTCTATAGCCTGGAAAAACAAGCTGCAATTATCGTGAATACATTTCAAGCAAAATTCTCCCAATTCGAAAAAAATGCGTTCGGCTGAGCCGTAGTATTTTTATCCCTCCTCTTTTTTCAGTATGGCGGTGACAACTCAAGCTCTGGTGCAGACTACTTTGATGGTAACCTGTTTGGGTACGCAGTTTATGGCATGTTTGGGTTGTTCTTGCTCGCCTTAGCTGTTGGTCTTTTCTGGCAGTATTACCCGCGGGAAAAGAAGGCGCAGGAAATTCAAAATCGGAAAGGTAAACTACTGCAGTTAAATATTTGTTGTCAGTCTTTACTTCAAGATTTCAAATTTCTTCCAACTTTTAATAGACTGGTTTATTTTGTCTCGTAGTCATCTAACATGGGTTAAGAATCTGCGCCAACGTAAACATTTCGAGCCGACAAAGAACGAGCTTTTTATTCAATTCACACAAATTGACCATTGCAGAGAGAGTAGGAAAACAAAAATGTTTGTTTGGAATCGCATTTAGCGTCAGCAATTTCCCGCATATACATACGGGAGTTGTCTACATATATTTCTTTATATAGTTTTGGCCAAGAACTTTCCTTTTTTCCGTAACGTAAAGAAGTTTACAGACCGAGCATTGAATCTACAAGTTCACTTTATAAAGAAAGTTGAAAGCCGTTCCTTGACATCTATCTACTAGGACATCAAGTCTGCGCGCGTGACGATCCCACACTTTCTAAATAAAATCACGTAAATAAAAGAAAATTATTAATAAAAACGTACAAATTTATCAGACGCTGCTTTTCATGTAGCTGTTGGGAAATGAACATCTTTAAAACTTTTTGCGATAATTATTCGACTGTGTAGTTTATATTGATGGATAAAATAGGTAATTTTAACCGGTTGTTCAAGTTCTGTAGGAACTTCACACCAACTTAACCTGGCCGAAAATTTACAAAAGCCATTCTTGTTCTATTCTTTTGTCAGCAAAACAAGACGTCTTCAAACCTGACCAGAAGACAGTAAAGACAAATCTGGAAGTGAACGGTCACCAGAGGAATACTTCGTCAAACTGTGGCGAGCACACGGAGCGACTCATGGCCGCTCAAAGTGCAGAGCTGTTAGCCATGGAAGATGAGCTTAAAGCTTTCCGCAAGAACTGGGAAAAGAACTTCCGAGCTCTACAGGAAAGGCACAAACAAGAACAGCAGCGCTTGTTTGAGCTAGACAATTTGGGCTACGAGATGTAAAAGAAACGAAACATAAGGACAAATAATGAAGGCGCAGACTTTGGCACAGCACTTTCTTTAAAATGTTTTCCATGATTTCGATTTAGTTATCTACTCAGTTTCCTAATAAACATAATCGAAGAAGTGTTAAAAATACTGCCAACAACTCATTACTCCCTAACTGCCAGCTGAGGTTTCAGCTCACATTCTTCGTTGTCTATAATACGTTTATAGATAAGTCATACAATTTACATTATCAAGATCAGTTGTAAATATTGCACATCAAACTGTACTTTTATTTCGGTAACATTTTAATGATAAAAACACCTTATTGAGCCACTAGAACGTTTGCAAGCGAGATTGTGTTGGTTATGGAAACCAAGTTTACAGTAAACTTAAACACATACTGAATACACTGTTCCTTGCCTGAAAAATGGCACTGGAAATCACTGCTTCAGACTGCAGAAAGGAGACGGAAGCCCAAACCAATATTCATAGCGTGCAGAAAAGTTACGTTGTCTACTCTTAAGATCTCTGCATTAGTTGTTCAGCAACAGTTCACGACTCTATGCAAGAATCTACCACTCGGTTTTTTTTTATCTTGTCAAGTGCAATAAATAGGTTAACAGGGGTATTGGCTATGTAACACTCATAAAAATCTTTTCATTTACTAAGAGTGACCACAAATCAATCCAAAGAATAAAAAACAAACAGACCAACATTGAAGGAAGCGCAACTCTAAGGCGAAGAGCGACATAATATCTGTCTAACAATCTCTATGGCTTTTCTCCTTACCTCTCTTATATTCCAACAATACAGAATTGGCTTAAGAGTGGAGTTAAAAAACAAGAAGGTTCTTGCAAATGCCCATGGTTTAAGAAGAGGTGGAACAATGCCCTGAATTGCCATACAGATTATAACTACTAACAAGGGAATGTAGCAGATAAGGACTGAAAACTGTACACAGATTGCGTTAGACACTGTCTTCCTGTATCGTGCAATGTTCAGAGGAGGATGGCCATTTGGGTGTCCTCGGCTGTGACTTTGTTCTTGTATTTGAACTTGATGGCGATTAAGCGTCTGAAAAATCTTGATGTAACAGCAAGTTGCGACGGCTAAGCATAGCGAAATTATTGTGATGAAGTAAAAGAAAAGGTGGGCAAAGGTGCCCATGATAATCACGTACGCGGTAGTGAGGAAAGTCCAAAAACAAACCACAGTTATTAGGACTCGCTTAAAAGTAACCACTTGTCTGTACCTCAAGCCTAACAGCAGAGCGAGTAGTCTGTCCACACTTATTGCACTTACGGTAAATAAAGATAATAAACCTAAAATTCCCGCTAACCTACCGGCGATGCCAAAAATCTTTGCACAGAGACTAACACCGCCGTACTCTGTTAGAAACAATAACGCGACATAAAAAGGCTCTGCGAGAATCCCGACAAACAAATCAGTGATCGCCAAGAAACGCAGCAAACTCTTGGAAGGTCGATGAAGGGATGAGTCCTTATGAAAAGCCACCAGGATGAAAACATTGGCTAAAGTAGCAGTAATTGCCAGAAAAATGTTCACGGCTTCCAGAAACCGAAATGACTGCTTTTTCATTTGTGAAAGTCCTTGACAACCTCGGTATAGATCACTGATCATGACTGTCAGCCTACAGTTGGTCTGGGAGGAACGTTTTGTGCTAAAAATTCTAGTCGACTCTGCTCACTGACAACAAGCACGTTGTTTCAGATTTTCTTTCACAGAAAATAAAACTCATAAATTGCAAACACTCACGATGTCTTTGGTAAATCAAATTAAGACGTAAGATAATTAACAACCCTTATATAGTGTACATTAAGCGAAATATGCCTGCGCCTTAGCGCCGAATTCATTCTATATTCATTTTTATTACATCCGTTTCAGCTGAGTGTCAGTTTATTTGATTATTTTACGAAACAAAATTGTAGGTGACATAATTTTATAACTGACATTTTAATGCTTCATCTCCCATTTGCGTTTTAATTCTGTTTTATAGATTTGCTGTAATGAAAGTTTTTGTTGTTTGCCAACCTGAAAATTTAATAAAAATAGCAATTTTTCATGAGGGTGCTTGATTGATTTTGCCTCCTGCCATGAGTGCTTCTGTGAGGTCGTAATATATATATGTTATTTGCCGGCTGGGAGGTCCGTATGGTGAAAAACTGTGACCGAGGTCTTGAAAATGCTGCCCGAGGCCTACGGCCTCGGGCAGTATTTTCAAGACCTCGGTCACAGTTTTTCACCATACGGACCGACCCTTAGCCGGTAAATAACATATTTATTGTTTTTAAACTTGACGAAATTCTTTCCGAAAGAATCCGAATGATTTATGGCCGTAAATACGGCAAGATCTTCCATAAACTGAACAATTTTTGAGTGAGTAAATGGTAGTTAAAATAGAAGTGATGCAAATTTAAGAGAGATGCCTCAGCGAAACATTTTCATTTCCGTAACGATGAAGGTGATTTAAAAGGCTTCCAAACAAAGTTGGAAACATTATTTTTAAAACTATCTGTCACAATCTGACACCTGTCAATTAGAGAGCGCGTAAGAAAAAAAAAGCGCAAGAAGATTTGAAAAACAACGGAACTAGTTTGGCAAGGACTGTCACCACAATGTTTTCTTCAAAAACAATCAATGATATAACGGAAAGTATTATTCACTCTCATCGACGATTCATTCATGTACGAAGATTTACCTCTGTTCATTAAGTAAACGGCGAGGAAAGTAATTGTGAGTAAATTCAAATTTTTTATTTTGAAGTTGTGAGAGTTTGCTCGTTTGTTTGCTGCAACGGCGTGTGTAAATCTGGTCTTTCCTCCACAAAAACTGAATTCGAACGGCACACTCCAACGAGACACAAGGGGATTTAATGCGGCCTTTTCTCAATAAATTCCTTCAGTTTCTGTTGTGCAATTTATGGTCCAAATGTCCAAATTGAACGGACTTTGAAAGACTCACCGAGAGCGTATATTTATTGTCGAACTGAAATTAAAACTTCGCTCGCTCTTTTACTACGAACAAATTGTTTGAGAAAATTCAGACATTAAATGAATGAAAGTTCCATTGTTCAGTTTACCTGTAACCAAATACCTCACGTTTTAACTTTCTAAGTACTTTTTGTGAATGATTAAAATCAATTGCAGACGGTTTTTAGGCCGCTTGTCAACCGACGTAATGACACCATTGCCTATACAAATTCATTCTGAAACCAATTTTTTTTTGTCAACTAAATTGATTTGAGAGAGAGAAAGAGAGGATTCATAAGTCGGCTTGAGGTAGTGACCGATGTGTTTGCTTAAAAATACTGCCCAGCGGGCAAAACAAGGTATATTTATGAAAAATGGCAACGAAAGTTGAGATGTACACGACGACTCACGAAAGCGTTACCGTGGCCCGTGGGCAGAGATAGGAAAATACTGACCGGGTAAAGAACCAATCAGATTGCAGGATTCGTTACCGTGCCCTCTAAAAAAACAATAAAAGTAATTATTTACTCTGTACAGCTGCGTCAACAAAGACCTGCTTCAGGAGATTCCTAATTTGGATAGGATGATACGATTTTAGAGCTGTTAAGGACATCTCTGATCTTCCAAAGAATCGGGCTCCGCTGGTTTGAATCAGAGACGTGTACAAGTGACAGAAAAATTGATTTCAGACCTGTTGCAACGCAATTTATATTTGCACAATCTACATATTTCGAACTCATGACCAGCCCCCAATCACCGTGATTGGCGGGTCAGCTGGTTGGAGCGTCGCCACGGCATCACCGCAGGGCAGCATGGTTTCGAGTCTCGTTCAAGGCTAACGTTATTCGAGACATACAACTCCTTTCGAGAATTGCTACTACTTTAGTACAATATTCATCTTCTCAGCCTTTTAAAATAATTAGCCTACGGCTCACCTCCGTTGTCTACTCACCGCATTTAACTTCACAGCATTACTTACTTAACCGCAATACAGTTTTTAGGAAACTTTATCATTCTCAGATGAAAAAAGCTTTCGGCATTGATTTGCGAGAGCAATGCCATATTTTTAATTGCTGTTGTGCTTCAAAACTTAAATGAGTGAAACAATCAAACTCAGTTCTTCTTTTATGATAAACACCGATATATTTTTATGTGTTTTGTCGTTTCTATTTTGTCTCAGTGAATCTGACTCGAATCTGCCACACAAGAATAAAAAGGCGGTAGCACTTAATTTTATTGGGAATATGTCTCCTACTTTATGCTTAGGAGCAAAAATGTTTATTCATCGTATTGCCTTATTTGACTACGTTTGCTCGTTTAGATAAATACACTTTTTCCAGGCTACATTTGCTCTCATTTGTTCTTTCAATACTAAAACCTTGTTCACTTTCTGAGCGAGCTTTGCGCTAGAAGTACTTTTACATGATCAAAACATGCCTAAGAGGGGGAGGGTTTGTCTAAGTCCCAGGCCCCAATTACGAATTATCTACCAGAAAAGCTACAAGGACTAAGGATAAAGTTTGCAGTATTGTTTTTTTTTTGTGCCCAATGAGAGTCAAATGGCTTCTGGGACTGGTTTAGTGAGGGACTCTCTGGCCCCCCCTCTCACCCCTGTGTCTTCGTGGATGGTTTTCAATTCCGTACCATCGGTGTAGGTCAGTGGTGACACCCTGATGTTGTGACTTTGACGAACAAGTGTAAATGGAAAAAGTATCCCTAGAAATTAAGGAAGACATCATTTTTAAACTTGAACAAATCGTACTCACCATATAACGTCTTTAGTTGCTTGTCTCGAATAAACAAAGGATACCACATGACTCATGTGTTCACCTTGTATTTGTTATTTAAGGTTGAAAGCTGCAGAAAGGGATCGTTTTCACCTGAAAGAATTTTTTAAGCTGAAGCACTGCAACTATAAGTTAGTACATATCATCAAACCAAAAAACGAAGCCCGGAGTGTTTCTTTGAATGTTAGTCCGATTCATGAAGCTAAATCCTGAGGGAGAGGGCTCGTATAAAGCGAACTCAGATACTAAAAAACCATCGCGCTGTGAATTTGTCTTCTTTTTCCTTCCTCCTCTTTTTTCTTTTCTTTTTTTTTTTTCTATTTCGGCTTATCAGTAGGCCTGCCAAAAGTAATAAAGATAGCATATAAAGAGCTGTAGCCTTCTCAAAAATTGGAACACATCATTTCGGGTCTGCGAAATATTATGAGGGATAAGCTAAGTGATCCAGGGCAAAAATGACGTCACGACTCTCTTTGCTAATCAGTCGTTTTGAAGATTATTAGATTTTGTCCAAGAAACCAATTGAAACAGTAAAAAATGAAAACAAAATTTAAACTCATGACGTCTCATTAAACACATTTCCGTTTTTTTTTCTATTTCTCACAACTTTTTTTTCTATTTCTCACAACTTTTTTTTCTATTACTCACAACTGATTTCTCTGTGGCTCAATGTCAGGTCATCGAAGCGCAGAATCCGAAAGGTGAACGTGTTGAATTTTGATAGAAAAAGCGTTTTTATCCCCAAATTTCGTAGGTCCCGGGCCCGAAATTAACGATAAGCCGCTCCTTGCTGTGTTGCTCAGTTTCATTTCTCGCAAGTTTTAATTATTTATACACCGATATTCTTTACTGATCTTCATTGTATGAGAATAAAACACAGTAAAGTTTTAGTGTTGATTTTTTTCGAAGTTCATTCATAAAATTTTTTAAAGCACTTTCCCGGTGGTGTTACAGGAAATTCAAAGTTTATTAACGAAGGTTCAGTCATTTTTTTTCGTAAAAACTTAATCTGAAAGTTAGGTAAGGCAAAACTTAATGACAAAGTAAATAAAATTTTTCTTGATTTTACCACCGAGCTCAAACCTCTGTCGAATCAAACGACGGTTTCGATCCTACTGATCCCTGTAGAATGCAGAACACTTGTCCAATATGAACCTTGTAATGACCCAACTCACAAGTGATTTCTCTGTGGCTCAATGTCAGGTCATCGAAGCGCAGAATCCGAAAGGTGAACGTGTTGAATTTTGATAGAAAAAGCGTTTTTATCCCCAAATTTCGTAGGTCCCAGGCCCGAAACCATATTTTTTCAATCCCAATCTAAGGAACAATTGCGCGAGTCTAAGTTCAAACACTTGCTCACTCTTTTTGATTTCCTCGAATTTTATCGATTGATTTCAAAATTATCGGTTTCTTGATCCAGAATGTAAAAACCAACCAATGATTAGCTTTTTGGTCCGTAAAGTGACTGTAATAAGTTAACGGACCTTTCGAGAAACAGTGTTTTATGATGCCGCCTAACTTTCACGGGATGTTGACGCGATGGCTTTGGATTTCTGGTGATTATTTGAATCCAGGTCGTTTCATGCTGACGTAACCGTGATTAGCTCGCCCACAGAATGGGTCACTTGGCTTTAAAACAAATATTATTCACAGTATCTACAACATTACAATGCGATTTTTATTGGTCTTATTAGCATAAAAGATATACATTATGTTATGGATAAGCCTGAAATATGTACATTTGTGGAGTAAAAGAAAGTCGATGGCTCCTTAATTTGAACTTAACCGCACCATACTCCTCGAATAATGCCAATAGCTGCTCGTCTGACTTCTGTGATCTTCCAGCAGTAAAGGATCGGATTCAGTGTTGAATTAAAGTTGACAACAGTTTTAGAAAATACCCATGCGGAAATAAGATTTGATGTGGTATGGCCATGCACCATCAATAATACAAGAGTTACACCAAAGGGCAGGTAGCAAACCACTAATGAAAATTGTATCCATAATGTACTGGACACTGTCTTTCTGTATCGAGCTATGTTCAGTGGCTCGTGTCCGTTTGGTTCACCTTGATGAAGATTTTCTTGTACTTGAGCTTGATGCTGAAGAAGCTTTTGATAAATCATTGTATAACAACAAATTGACACCATTAGAAACAGGAGAACAGTGGCCGTGACGTAAGTGAGGAGGACTGTAAGGATGTCAATCCAATTCACCGTGATAATGCAGCCGGCGATGACAGTCCAAGAACAGACCACGATAATTGCAGTTCTCCGTAAGGTGACCACTTGTCTGTATCTGATGCCCAGGAACAGAGCGAGAAATCTGTCCACGCTTATTGCGGCAAGTGTGAACAAAGATGATAAGCAAAGGGCTGTACTAATGTAACTGGTGAGTTCCGTTGTGAAGGTAACAATATCCTCAATTTTATATTGGAATGCCATCAGTAGTGTGATGAAAATTGGCAGTGAAATAAGCCCAGCACATAAATCAGTGATCGCCAGGAAGCTTAACAAGATCTTAGACGGTGGATGGAGAGATGACTGCTTTTTCAGGGCAGCTAGAATAATAACATTACCCAGAATAGAAGTGATCGCGAATATGATATTAAGGAATATAAGAAACCATAGTGTAGGTGAATGAACTCCCACCAAACCAACGAAAACGTGCTTTGTTTCATCAGACATGTTCTGTGTTGGGAATCTGCTATCGCCTACTTACGGTTTACTTCGATACTGTATTGAGAATTTGAAGTCAGTCTTTGAGGTCAGTAGTAGCAAATCTAAATTAGCCCAGGTCGCAAACAGGTATGAGCTGATCCAACCAGCTGCTGACAACTAAGTTTGGCAAAATGTCGCCCGTGAAGGTCAGAAATTTACATTTAACTAAAAGCCGAAATGTCATCAAACTTAATCATTGAACAAACCGGATTTCGAAGTCGCTCGAAGTGACAGTATGCTTTTAGAAGAGGTGTTCGTGTTTGATTTGTGATAAAGGAGGGCATGTCAAAATATATTTTTAACTCACTTATGTCAGTATGATTCTGATAATTGAATTTTCTTCATTGTTATCACTGAAGCGAATAGAAAACGACTGACTGCTGTTAAATTTCGTTCTTTTTTAGTTCGTGAAATGAAATTAGCTCATTACTACATTTTGAACATATTTTTAGAAATGAAGTGGGCCGATAACTAGCCATAAAAACATGCAATTATTGGTTACATCATGGCGCTACCCACGTAAGACCTACCTACGTTTGCACGTACATACGTGTCTCCAAGACCATATCACACCACGTATCTACTTGTGAACATACGACAAGGGAGCATCTGATAATTCCACTCACTCTTTCATTAATCGAAAACAACATTTTGAGTTTTTAATAAGGTGCAATACTTTTGCTAAAGAACTGTCAAAAATATGCATGGAAATGTCAATTTCACGGAAGTGAGTTTTCTACTCCATTAAGCGCATTACAATCAGAAAATAGTTTCCGACTTAAAATGAAGCTTTCAGAAATTTGGTAAAAGACTCGGAACATATAATTTTTTAGTAAGCGTATAGATTTTCTTTAACCTTTGACTAAACGAACTGTTGTGTAACGTGGATCTGTTATGTCATTTTAAATTTTGATTTTCGGAATCTTGAACGTATAATGGAGCCAGCAGAAAGGTGGTTGATTTTTATGGATCACAAGAGCAAAGCAAAATACATAGTTTTTAAACTTAATTCGCTGACTTTACTGAAATGAAGCTTCTCAACATTTCATTGAAGGATGATAGGGCCCAGTACATTATTTTGCAAGCTGTTCTTTTTCTTTGAACATTGACTTCGTTCAAGAATTATTATCAACCCAACGAATGTATAGATATATTTTAAGTCTATGAATTGGAGCTTGGATGATTTTTCTCCGACGGGATGTGTACTTGTATGGGCAACCGAAAAAATTATCCTCGTTGTGAACTTTTCTTCTTCTTAAAGTTTTCAGAAATTTAAACACTTGAAAAAAATGATTGATTTTAACCCTTGTCATCCAAATTTGGAAAATTTTAAGATTAAGTGTTCAAAGTCGCACGATGTAACCAACTTTAATTTCCCCTCGTCGCAAACTTCTCTTATTTTCCTACACCGCAGGTCAACTTTTTTCAAAAATTCGAAAGTCAGCATGGTCAGTTGGGTTTTTTTCCAAGAGACGATCACTAATCTCCCTTACGGATTATTCAAGGGAAGTAAAGAGATATTAAAGGGGAGTGGCTCTGACAGTTCATTATTTATACGGACGACTTGATGTCTTTCAGATAAATAACTGTTAAACCAAGTGATGCCAAAGGGTAAAATGCCAAAATGTCCTGCAATTTATTCAGTATAATTTCATGGTTTATGCTGTCAAATGCCTTACTCATATTCAGTAACACAACTGCAGTTAATTTATTTTTGTCTATGCTGCTCAGGATGGCTTCAGTGGTGCGTACGCGTATCAATGAGGTCTCTGTTAAGTGGAGTTTCTTGTTTCCACTCTGCGTTGTAGATAATCTTTTATTCGACTCTAGATAAGGCACGAGCCGACTTAGAGCAACTCTCTCACACATCTTCGACAGAATGGGCATGGGAGAGATGAGTCTGATATTGTTTGGTTCCTCGTGGTCGCCATCTTGACATCATGACATTGACCGAACAACTTCTGCGACCTGTGAGCATTCCACTGTCATGAATTGAATTGATTGGCCCAGTCTGGGCGTTTCATTGGAACAAAAACTGGCTCTTAGAGGTCGTAATTACATTTACTAGCGAATGAATTAATTTTGTTAACAGTGGCTTGTCCAACCGAGGTAGAGGAACGATTAAACTCTTTAGCTACCGTCTTATTAATGATGATACTAGGCGATTTTCACATTAATACACTTTCTTAGAGCACAATATCGAAAGAATACCGTAATCTGATCCAATCAGAGGGTTTCAACCCCTTGGTATTTGAAGCAACACATGTAAGTGAGACAAAAAGTAGCTGCTTACATCATATCCATTCGAATTTTGTGCCTTCAAGAGCATGTGGAAGTATTGCAGCAGAAATTGCTGATCTTTTGCCTGTTTCTGGCCTTGTGTTCGATCCAAAATGTAGCCCCATTCGTTACACAATTGAAATTAGAGATTTAAAAAAAATTGACAGGATTGCTTTTCAAAATACATTAAGGAACACAATCTGGCAGCCCGTATATAGTAATAGTGATCCAAATGAAAGTTTGTCGAGATTCCTTCACATTTTTAACAGGATTGGCAACAGATGTAATCAAAACTAGAAACAAGTCGAATAAACCCTGGGTAACTGGAGGTTTAAGGAAATTTAAAAAATTCGTAGTCAGCTGTATAAAAATGGCTAACAACTCGTTACTCTACAAACTTGAACGCAACAAAATAGTTGCCATTAACAAAATATATCGCGCAGTTTATTGCGATAATATACTTAAAGATTCTACAAACAATAAGAAAATGTGAGACACCATTAATGTGATTATAATAAAAAAGGGGCAATCTTTTAGCATTGACAAATTGCAAGTAAACGACAACAACCATTCTCAATACCAAATGCTATCAACAAATACTTCTGCAGCGTTCCAGCTGAACTTGTATCTAAACTGCCCCAAGCAAATCACCGTCCCCCGTCTTATATGAACAGTGAAAAAGAATCGTTTCGCTTTTCTAAAGTAAAAATAAGGGGTACTTATTATGTCACTTAATTACAGTCCATGTTAACTTTTTAAATTTATTTGGACATCCGAAAAACAAAATAAAGACATCGTAAGTACATGTATACATTGTATTTGGACAAAATTAGTCTGAATGAGTCGCGAGATTGGTCAAGTTAGACAACTGAAAAACGCTTCTCTTTCAGTATTTTTCCTGTTTATTGTTATTACTTTTACCAGTTTATTCATTTCATCTAGTTTCTTTTTTCCGTATGACATTAGTAAAGAGTGATTAGTAAACTGTGATGCGTAATCTACTCTCTCGAAGTGAAAACCTTTTCAGAGTAAGATACAAAGAAAACTCTGTACAGCGTAGGGTAATTTGGGTTCATTGGCTACATTTTACCAAGATGGAAATATTTCAGGAAAAACCTACAGCCAGCTTCGAGGCAATTGAAGACAAATGAACGGAGGAAGCATATCGAGTCTAACACCCCATGCCGCTGAAATGAAATTTCTTTTGGAGCGAAAAGTCATTAAAACGAAATTAAGTATGTTTATTTATTATTTGGACCCAACACATTGAGCAGCTCCCAGTTGGCTTGTTAGCTTAGTTGGTAGAGCGCTGCACCGGTATCGCAGAGGTCATGGGTTCAAATCCCGTACGGGCCTGAATTTTTTTCAGGTCCTATTTTCAACTATTCGTTTCAGTAGTGTTCTTAGCTGCGAAATCTCTTAATTTCGTTTCTTCACCGCAGTACAAATATATGAATTTCATATATCTAAAATCATCAAGTCATTAAAAGTTATCAAAATACATATTTCTGAAAAAAATATACACATCTCCTAATAAAAAAACACATTTTTCTGAAACAAATATGATTTCTCTGGTATTGAAAAAAGAATCTAAACATTGTATAATTATTTATTTTAAAGGATTAACTCAATAAACTTTGAATAGCACCATCAGTTAGTGGTGACTGTTATGACAGGGCTTCCATGCATTTTGAAAACTTCATTGAACCAAAAAGTTGATCAAACGGAAGTCTCCTGCCTCAATAATCAACAACCATAGAAAAACATTACTCGTTTCGATTAATACTTAAATCATTGCGAGTATTAGATTATAAATGTTTATAAACTCTTGCTGTGATTAAGAACTTTGAATAACATAAAAACAGAAGGCGTTTGGGGAAAAGGTCTCCGTTCGAATTTATCATAATCCGCTTTTCTGTTAAGCTAACCATAATTTTTAACAACGGATGAGAAACCGATCGACGAAACCGACCGAAAATTGAGGTAGCCAATCATATCATAGCAAAAATGAGCTAGCCTGGATGGACACAGAGGTATGGTAATTTAAAGTATTTGAAGCTGGTTGGTCTAAGGGAGTGATCAATTGATGTGAGTAGAAACTATGTCGATGGACAGCGTATCATCCTTTGAAACCCTGATTTTTATGCAACATGAAGAATATAGTGGAACCTCAATTTAGCGAAGTGCTATGGGACTGGGGAAATTGGTTCGTTGTATCAAGGGTTAAAGTAAACTTTATTCACACAGGGTAGCCCATTCAGCTCTAAGGCTGGTATCCATAGGGGCCCTGTTTCTTAAAAATAATTTACATCAAAATTTTCAATTATATATATACATGACTAGAATTTTAGAACTACATTAACAGCCTAAGACTACAAAGCCAAAACACAATTAAGACCTAAAATAGTAGATAAAGATAGATAAGAGGGTTCGTTATTTCGCAAACCTCGATTTAACGGATTTGCGGAAAAACAACCAAAATGTTCGTTATATCAAGGGATGATTAAGAGATTTTAATATTTTTTGTGGTGTGACGTCGCGCCACCCAGCATATTGGGATCGGAACGATTACTATAAATAACATTTGTGCTTTAATTTCAATATGAAGCTACAGTACACTGCACAGGTCTGTACATTGCTACAGCACCTTGTTTTAAAAGCACGGAGGACAAATTTCAGTGGAAGTC